GGAGATCGATGAGCATGTTAAGAACCGAAAGCCACTCCACATTCCGGGATGCAAGCCCGTTAAGTTTGAGGATACCCTCGACGTTTTTTTCATGGATTATGACGATCCTTCATATCAAGGCTATCTTGGTGTAGGGGTTAAAATGTCATTGTCTGATGGGATTTTGGTGAATTCTTGGGATGAGCTAGAGCACTCAACCCTCAAAGCCTTGGGGGAGGCTAAGAAAGTACCCGTTTATCCAATTGGTCCAGTGGTGCGACCAATTCAAATGCCGGTTTTGGGTAACCAAGTTTTAGATTGGCTCGACAAACAACCTAAAGAATCAGTGATTTATGTGTCGTTTGGGAGCGGTGGAACCTTGTCAGCCCAACAAGTCGCAGAACTGGCTTGGGGGCTAGACCTCAGCCAACAAAGATTCGTTTGGGTGGTTCGTCCTCCTGTCGACAACGATGCATCAGGGTCTTTTTTCACAGTAGGGACCGGCTCTAATGGCAACCCCGACTACCTGCCAGATGGGTTTTCTACAAGGACCATAGACAGAGGTTTGGTGGTCCCCATGTGGGCTCCACAAGTTGAGATATTGAGTCATCCCTCGATCGGTGGATTTTTAACCCATTGTGGGTGGAATTCGACCATGGAGAGTATTACCAACGGGGTGCCGATGATAGCGTGGCCGCTTTACGCTGAGCAGAACATGAACGCTGGGATATTGACGGAAGACATCGGAGCAAGCATCGGAGCAAAGGCGCTGGAATCATCAGGTGGAGTGGTGGGAAGAGAAGACATAAAATCGATGGTGAGGACAATACTGGTGGATAGTGAAGGGCAAGAGATAAGAGCTAGGGTGAAGGAGATGAAAAACAGTGCCGCAAAAGCTTTGAGCGAGGGTGGTTCCTCCTGTAATTCACTGTCCCAAGTAGCAGAGATCTGTATTCAACACCTGAAAACAAAGGCTTACGGAGCTTGATTATACTTTAATATATTAGGATGTTGTTCTTCAAGTTTATGTACCCACATATTTTATGCGTGTATGAAGAAGCTTGTGATGTTCACTTGTTGGTGTTTGGCTTCTTTTGTTTTTTGGCCTTTTCTTGCTTTTTAGATATTGGTCTTCTGTGAAAGCAGGTCCATACTTCTTGCTATGATCTTTGGGATTGAGTGCTGTTCCTTTCTGGGCAGCTCGATTTCCCTTTTTCTGATTTATATATTTAAAAAAATTTTCTTTCTAGCTATCAATATGACTAAGAAGAATGGATTTAGCTTAATTTGTTGGAACCAAATGACTGAGAATTAATTTGAATAGAAATTAAAGTTCGGATAAGAATGAAACCATATTTGATATTGATGCGCATAGGCAAAATTTCCCACCTTGAAAATGAAGGTGCAATGCCAGAAATTGATTAAGTATTAGACATCAAATTCGCCCCTTGGAAGAGTTAACAATTTCCATCTATTGATCGATGTGAACGTGTGGAACTTGTTCAGATGTTAGATAATAAGGTTTCCATTAGTGGAAGACGAACCAAGTCACGACCAGTCACATTTCTATTCGTCAAGGTCAAGACATTCCATAAAAGATGTTTCTATGGATATTAAATCCGAAAATATATTTTTCCTACTAATTAAAGTATAGGGAATGTGAATCCCATTACCAAATTATGTTTAAGATCGATGCTAATACGGAAAAGAATAGACAAATTTCCCGTCTTGGATAGTAAAGACAACGTCAAAATTAACTAAAGATTCCAATGCCAATTCAGTTGACGTTCGACCCAACATGGTCTACGTCAAAGTAAATGAATTGCCCCTTCTATGTTCCTTGGAATTCTCAAGCTAGCTCGTGCTGCACATGCTTGAATTTTTAATACCATGGGACGGGTGCAAGCAGGAACGGGCACATGAATTCTCTTGGAGTGATATTATAATTAAAAAATATAAATATATTAAACATTTATAAATTAAAAATTTTGATATCAAATTAAAAAAATATAAATTTAATATTTCAAAGTAAAAATATCTAAAATAATTTTAATTATTTATGATAATTTTTTATACTTTGAAAACGATGTATAATAGCATCAATAGAAACATCACGGACAGACGTATAGGTAGTAAAATGGTGTCACATAATACCACTTATTTATTGAAGTGTCAAAAATTTTTGCTTGTTATATTGTTTATATTAGAGTTTTATGTAATTAATGATGTTAATAAATTCACTAATATTTTTACAATTTTATAAGAAATGAAATCAAAGATTCAAATTAGAGTAGATTTATTAACAAATAATTTACATAATAATATTTAAATACTCCATGCTAATAAGATGGGAGGGGTGCAAGCCATGTTACACACCAAGGAAGAATAACATGTTTTAAAAGTCTATCAAGGCAAAGAAAAAGACAACAATTCACATGAATCTCAAACGACAAGAACTGAGATGCAAAACTTATTTAGTATAATTACAACATAATCACATTAAAAATAACATATTTATAATCACTTTGTTTCTAACAAAACACGTATAATGTCGACAATAAATGTTTAATTAGTATGATCTGTTGGTTACCTTTTAAATTTTGGATTGTAGCTTGCTCCTTTAATTACTATAAAAACGATTCCAGAAACCTTATATTTTGAAATAAGAATAACTACAATATTTCTTAGAAAAATGAAATATAACTCTAATTACCATCCAAGGTAATAAGAGTAAAAATCTTAAATCTATTCTTCAATCACAATTTCGGAAAAGCAGAAACAATTTTTTCTGTATATATTTTTAAAATGTTATGCCATAAATTAAGGGTCTCTCTTGATTTTGAAATTATAACTCTCCTTTCATAATTTAGAGACAAAAAAAAAATCTCATTACCCTGTTAAAACAAATAAGCCATTGGTTGTCGTAAAGTTCACGAGATACACAATCATGGATACTTATTCTATATTGAAGAATAAATGAAGTTCATGAAATGAACGGAAGACCAAAAGACATTGGACCAGGCTTTACACAACTCGCAAGTCATCGGCTGAAGACCCTGACTCTGAAACTAAAAATTTGTTCCAGATAAGCACTAAATCTAGTCAATGCGCTTGCAAAGTTTTCCGGATTCCACTAAAGGTGTGTTTGTTTTCCAGTCCTCGCATGATTGTCGCCTGAAATTTCCAGGATAACGTGTTGATGACAAGGTATGGTGGTCTCTTTTCGGTAGCAAAAGTGCTTCTATGTATTTTTGAGTTATTAAACAAAAAATATGATATAATAATTACAAAATTCTATTTATAAATATTCTTTTAAGAAGTGCTTATAATGCTCTTTAATGTTGTTCTTTTGATGGAATAATATTTTAAAAAAATTTTAAATAACTTATTATTCTTTTATTTCATTCAATCAAATTTTTATATTTTTTTTAGTTAAAATATTTAATCAAAATGTCATTTGTCATTTTATATCAAATGATATAGGTGTGTCATGTAATATGTTATAATAAATCATAATGCGACAAGATGGTATGATATGATAAAAATGTCATGTGATATTTTTCATCATTCACACCAATACTACGTAGATATAAAATAATAAATAATTTTTTTTAATAATAATTAATCAATCATTAATTATAAAAATTTATTTAATTCAAAATAAAAATATATTAACTTAATTAAATATATTAAAAGAATAAAAATTTATTTGAATTTTTTAAAATAACTCAAGATTTTTTGGAACATTATGTTTTTATTTTAATTTATTTTGAAAATTTGAAAGAAAATCACATTCTATTGCGCGCAAGAAAAAACGATAATCAAGCAAGTTAATAAATAATGAATTTATGGAAATGCAGAACAAGAACTTCACACTTTGAAATAACGTGAGTATCCACTCAAGACTTTGGCTGGAACTGACCTATGTGTTAAAGAAGGTTTAAGGTCACGATACGTTACCTTATTTTTATTTTTATTTTCTCATTGAATGCTTATTATTTTTGCCTATTAATATCATTGCAAACTCAAGTAACAAAAGACAAACTTACCTCCCCTATCCTAGGTTTTTGTCTTAAAGAGTTTGTGTTGTAGCCATAATGCAAACCAGAAAGCCTCATGCGGCGCTTCTTGCAAGCCCTGGCATGGGACATCTCACTCCCGTCGTCGAGCTCGGCAAACGCCTTGTTTCCCATCACGGCTTCAGTGTCACTATCTTTGTCGTCGCGACAGATACCTCTCTCTCACAATCCCAACTTCTAAAACTGTCGCAAACTTCCTATCACCTTGAAGTTGTTTTGTTGCCACCGGTGGATATCTCAGGCCAGATCGACCAAACCACTTCAATCTTAACGCAGCTAGCAATGATGATGCGTGAGGCATTACCAAGCCTCCGGTCAGCAATATCCGCGATGACAGTTCCACCAGTTGCTCTTATCGTAGACATGTTTGGGACTGAAGCTTTTGCTATTGCTGAAGAGTTCATGATGCAGAAGTATGTTTTCATCACTTCAAATGCTTGGTTTCTTGCCCTTACAGTCCATGCACCAGCCATTGGTAAGAAAGAGGAAGATGATCACGTTAACAACCAAAAACCACTGGTCATTCCAGGGTGCAAACCGATTTGCTTTGTTGACTCTTTTGAGCCGATTCTGAAACCAAACAATCAAGTCTACGAGCAGTATTTGCGCATGGGAACCGAGATATCCACGGCAGATGGAATATTGGTGAATACGTTTCAAGAATTGGAACCCCAGACTCTTGCTGCTTTAAATGATAAAAAGAAGCTAGGGCTGGTCGCGAATGCACCGGTTTATCCGATTGGACCACTGGTGAGGCCCGCCGAGCCTGGTGTGAGAAATGAAGTGTTGAGTTGGCTAGACATGCAACCCAAAGAGTCGGTGATATATGTTTCTTTCGGGAGTGGCGGAACCCTCTCAGCCAAGCAAACTACAGAGCTGGCATGGGGTTTAGAAAAGAGCCTACAACGGTTTGTTTGGGTGCTTCGTCTACCAGTTGAGAATGATTCAGCGGCCACCGTTTTCAAGACAAGCAATGGCTGCGCCGACTACGCAAACTACTTGCCTGATGGGTTCTTGAACCGGACCAGCAAAACTGGGCTAGTGGTTCCGATGTGGGCGCCTCAAACTGAAATCTTGAACCATCCATCCATAGGTGGATTTTTGTCTCACGGCGGGTGGAATTCTAGCCTAGAGAGTATTGTCAATGGTGTTCCGATGATCGTGTGGCCGCTGTATGCAGAACAGAAGATGAATGCTGCAATGCTGGCTGAGCATATCGGGATGGCTCTCCGGTTGAAGTTGTTGCCATCGGAGGACGTGATTGAGAGGAGTGAGATAGAGGCAATGGTTAGAAAGCTTCTGGTGGGTAAAGAGGGGGAAGCATTCAGAGCCAGGGTGAAAATGCTAAAATCATGGGCGGAGAAGGCTCTTAGCAACGGTGGCGGTTCTTATAATTCTCTGGCTAACGTGGCCAAAGACTGCGAGATCAGCCTGCAGAGCCGGAACACAAAAGCTGGCGCTTGATAATCACAGGCCATCATCCTAGTGAATGCAATTAAAAGAGTTTTGTCTTTAATGCCTCTTAATGGGTTTTTCATGTTGGGTATTTTCCCGATTATAATACAAAATAGAATTCAAGAACAAATAAAATGATGAGGCGATTTATTGATTTCATTCCTCCAAGTCTGAACACATCCCATACGTAAAGACATCAATACTCCATAAAGATCAACATATAATTTAGCTACAGAACAAATCTCCAAATTTGATTCTTTAAAACCGATGGAGGAAAGAAGAAAGATGTGCAACGATTCATTGGGGCTTCCTGGACAGAGATCATGCACTTACAGGTTCAGTGGCAGTCTTCAGCCATTCCATCTGATGTTTATCCATGTAAGGTTCAAGAATTTCCCGACATTTTGAATGGTAGGAATTCACCCACTCAATCTCCTGGGGTGTCAAGAGGCTCAAGTCGATCAACTTTATCTGATAGGGTGCCTGAATATAAGAAAAATATACACATTAAACCGTTGAAGTGTATCAAAAAACATACACCCTCTCATTCCAAATGCTATGAGATGAAAATAAGGACACTTTTATAAAGAATGACAATTTCAAAAATACTTGCAATAGAGTATAAATCGAAACTTTTTCAGTAAAGACTTGCAATAGAGTATAAATCGAAACTTTTTCAGTAAAGACTTGCAATAGAGTATAAATCGAAACTTTTTCAGTAAAGACTTGCGTAAATGCATGAGTTTCTTTTCAAGTTAATGTAGCCTACATAATAGGGTAGAATTCTTATAAATAACAAGCACGGAGGTGCATAAAATTTAGAACATGCCTGCATATGAGCACACACACTCAACATGGCTGATAGGAGAAGCAGAAAACATATGAACGATTACATATTATGACAAACTTACCCATGTGATATGCTCAAAGGATAAGTATCCCTTATCACCAAAATTGAATTCTGTATCAGCCTCCTTGATTACAAGTACATTCTCTAATCTTATACCAAAGCTCCCATCTTCATAATATCCAGGTTCTGGGAAATGGAATTTTCAAATAGAATTAGTAAATACTCCAGTTATTTAGTAATGACACATTATTTTTCAGACCAAGCATACAGCTGGAACTATTTTCCGATTGAGATAACAGAATTCATAAATCTAATTGAAACTGTATCCTCATGGTAAATAGCCCCCTATGCACAAAGCACAAAAGACTGGAGCCAAGAATAACAGCCCAAGCAAGTGCAATATTAAATGCTTAAAAACAAATATGTGTGAAAAACTAGAAGTGAACCGAGCATTAACTATAAAAAATTAAGGAAGAAGTGAAAGGAAATCAGTATAAGGCAGGACAAAAAAACTGTCAACTAGAGAATGGAAATTCAGAGTATTAAGGTAGGACAAACAATACTAACCATCTGTTACAGTCATGGAAGCTTGCAGTGGCACATTTCGAGCCTGTGGTCTGAAACTAATTAGATGGGGCCCTGCTCCAAGTAGTTCAACCAGGAAAAAATTAAATAAAAGCCTGACGGAATTTACTGCAAAACTAACTTCAACAAGCAATTGTAGCTCATTGCTAACCTTCATGAACATTCAGATAAGACCCAATTCCATGACCGGTACCATGTCGATAATCAAGACCATACCTCCACAGAGGAATTCGAGCCAGAATATCAAGAGCATGACCTGTTAAAAAGCAACCAATTAATCCAAATAAAAAAAAAATTTAATCGATATTGGAGTTTAGACATAGATCCTACCCATGACTTCAAACTGACATGCTCAAATAAAAATAGAACAATTAAACAGACAAACAGAGAATACTTGAAATACCATTTGTTCCATTCGGATATCGAGCATTGTCCAGAGCAATATGGCCCTTAAGAACCTGCATGGAATCAAGACTTAAGCTCAGGCAGAATAAGAAATGAAATCCATGAAAATTTAAGGGAAGAAGAGAAGCGGGACCCAAGCATCTTAACCTAACTTTCCAACAAGCAGAATCAAAATAAACTAGAGAGATCAATAAATTTTGACTTCCAATATGTTGAACATTCTTAAACAGCCTAAATGCTGATACAAATTGGGTTAGCATGTACAAACAAATCAAAATTGATAACTCACTCAGCTTATTACCACAAAAAATATATGTTGATCGATTCTTATAATTTAAAGCAGACTGTGAATTGTCAAATATAGATAAGACATCCAAATCATTCTATAATTCCTATCACACTTCCCAGTCATTCATGTGACACATAACACCCAGGCATAACAAGTAAGATGCCCAAAGATGGATATCCAGCTTGTCTTATCAAACCCACCAGGGACTAGATTTTGGAAAGAAAAGCACATCAGAATTAAAACTTTAAATAGCGTGACCAAAGGAAGGTGAAAGTGGGTACTAAATAAGTGACATATCTAGAAGAGAAAGCAACAGAAGCCACTTACCGCAGTATAGCAAGCCTTCTCATGTGCTGAAGGCTTTCCAAAATGAACTGTCCGGGTTATATCAGTTGTCCCATCTAGATACTTCAATGATGCCATCCATATTATCAGTAATGGAATAAAGAATCAGAACTACATATCTAGAATATAAAATAGTTGGCATTTTATTGATAATTTTGGGTAATGGATATAGCTATAGCTAAAATATTAATGTTTAAAAGCAAACCTGGGCTCCTGAATCAAACAGATAAATGCTATCTGGATCAAGCTCAGCACATGTTTCTGCCTGAGGTGAGTAATGGATGATGGCCGCATTTGGACCAACCGAAGAAATAGTTGGGAAACTTAGGCCTCTAAAGTGCTGCAATTAGTACACATAGCAACAATTTTAGTGACATGAACAAATACAAATGCATGCACACATTTCCACCTACATAAGTAAGATTTTAGCAACAATTTTAAGCAAGATGGTCATTTTAAGTTAATTACTTATAAGTTCTGACTCTTAGGAAATTCTCATCCTTCTTATGCTATGATGCAAACAAGTTCACATAACAAAGTAATTGCTATTTGCCAAGTTTTTTTTATGAAAAAAAGAACGGAAAGAAAAAGAAAAAAAATTCTAGTACAATTTGTCAATGATAAAAACAAGATGTAGCACTGTTAATTTAATCTATAGTTTTAATTTGCATAGCCAACAGAATTTCTCACTTGAAATTTCATTATTATTGTTATATCCCAAATGACATTTTGGCTAGTTTTCCTTAATACCGCAAAAGAAAAAAACAAAAAAAAACCTAGTTGAAAGTATTGTTACCTCTTTTGATGCACGAAATTCCTCCAACTTATCACTAACAGTCACCTCTGTCAGCTTGTTAGTCTCTCTGCGTGGTTCATTCAATAGCATAAAAAAGAAAGAGTCAGTCCACCTCAAGCTCAGAAACGTTTTCACATTTTAGCAACAGCTGTGCAGTCAGCCAAAAGAGTGGGGAACAGCCTGTTTGGTTTCAGCCTGAAAAATCGGATGAGCAGGGAGAAAGAGGGGCAACATATCAACTTTCAATTCTATAACTTACAGTCTTTTTTTGCTTGCTCCCTCCCTCTCCAAGAAGTAACCAGAAGCCCCATAAATCTCTTGCATCTGCACATTTGAAAGAGCATCAGCATCATTTCCAGCCTAACAACAGCCTAAAATTTTGTTACATATGTTGAGAAATACTTAAATTTGAAAGTATCGAATTTAAAACATATGGGG